CAACCGGACCGAGTACCGCAACACGGTACGCGACCTGATGGGCGTCGACTACGACACGCAAGCCGACTTCCCCGCCGACGGTTCGGGCTACGGCTTCGACAACGTCGCCGACGTGCTGACGATCTCGCCACTGCACCTGGAGAAGTACGTCGCCGCCGCGCAAGAGATCGTCGAGCAGACCGTGCCGATGCAGCCGCGCGTCGTCGCCGAGCGCCGCATCCCCGGCGGGCGGTTTGTCGGCGAAGGCCAGGAGCCCAATGGCTGGCGCCGCTCACTCTCTTATTACGAGCCCGCCACCGCCAGCGCGACGCACCACGTCGACAAGAAGGGGCGCTACGAAGTCGTCGTCACCTACCGCGCGGAAGAGGACTACGTCGATCTGGTGTTCGACAAGAACAAGTGCCGCTTCCGCTACTCGATCGACGGCGAGCAGAAGCACGACGAAGAGTACAGCCGCCAGGGGGGCAAAGAGTACCAGCAGCGGCACAAGGTGAAGTGGGAGCCCGGCGACCACACGATCCAGTTCGAGGTCGAGCCGCTCACGCCCGACGCCGAGCGCCTCCGCTCGTTGCGGATGACGATCGTCGACGTGACCGTGCGCGGGCCGCTCGCCGAGAAGCACTGGGTCGAGCCGCCGAACTACCGCAAGTGGTTCCCGCGCGATGCGCCCACCGACGCCGCCGAGCGCCGCGCCTACGCCGCGGAGCTGTTGGGCGGCTTCGCCGAGCGCGCGTTCCGCCGTCCTCCTAATACGGAAACGACTGAACGGCTTGTCGAACTCGTCGAAGCGTCCGTCGCCGCGGGCCGACCCTTCGAGGCCGGCGTCGCCCAGGCGATGACCGCTGTGCTCTCGTCGCCGCGGTTCTTGTTCCGCGAAGAGGCCGACGCCACGCCGACGACAGGCGCCAGCGATCCCTACCCGCTGGTGGACGAGTACGCGCTCGCGTCGCGGCTCTCTTACTTCCTGTGGTCCACGATGCCCGACGCCGAGTTGATGCGGCTGGCGTCCGAAGGCCAGCTCCGCGCGCAGCTCGACGAACAGTTCGAGCGGCTGCTGAACGACCCCCGCTCGGAGGCGCTGGTCCGCAACTTCGTCGGCCAGTGGCTCGGCGCCCGCGACATCCAGCAGACGAACGTCAACGCGTTCGCCGTCATCAGCGCCGACAGCCCGCACGACCCCGAGCGCGAGCAACGCCGCGCGCGGTTCCGCGAACTACGCCAGAAAGAGCCCGGCTTGCTCACCGATGAGGAACGCCAAGAGCTCCGCGCGATCCGTGAAGCCTTCGACGAGGCCTTCCAACGGGTGCGCGAGTTCGACCTCGACGGCGACCTCCGCTGGGCGATGCGGCGAGAGACGGAGATGGCCTTCGAGCACGTGCTCCGCGAAGGCCGCAGCGCGCTGGAGCTGCTGAACAGCGACTACACGTTCCTCAACGAGCGCCTCGCCCGGCACTACGGCATCGAGGGCGTCACGGGCGGCGACATGCGCCGCGTCGAGCTGCCCGCCGGCAGCCCGCGCGGGGGCGTGCTCACGCAGGGGACCGTGCTCGTCAACACGTCGAACCCGGACCGCACCTCGCCGGTGAAGCGAGGGTTGTTCGTGCTCGACAACTTGGTCGGCACGCCGCCCCCACCGCCGCCGCCAGACATCCCCTCGCTCGAGGCGGCCAACGAGGGCGAGGCGACGCCGCTGACGCTCCGGGAGTCGCTCGAGAAGCACCGCGACTCGCCGATGTGCGCGTCCTGCCACGCGCGGATGGACCCATTGGGCCTCGCGCTCGAGCCCTTCAACGCGCTGGGCATCTTGCGTGACAACGACCACGGCAAGCCGATCGACGCGACCGGCACGCTCGTTACCGGCGAGTCGTTCAACGGCGTCGCCGAGCTGAAGAAGATCCTAGCCACCGAGCGGCGGCAAGACTTCTACCGCTGCCTGTCGGAAAAGCTGCTCACCTACGCCCTCGGCCGCGGCGTCGAGTACTACGATACCCTGACGGTGGATAAGCTCGTCGAAGGCCTCGAACAGAGCGGCGGCGACCTCCGCGGCCTCGTGCGCGACGTCGTCGAGTCGGCGCCGTTCCAACGGCGTCGCTGCGTTGAGACGCCCGCGACCGCAACCGCCCAGCGCAACGTTCACACGACCAACCGTTAAGCAAAGAACCAGTAGGACGCCCCGATGAACGAAGCCCTCCGCCTCGATCGCCGCCGCTTCCTCCAGAGCGTCGGCGCGTGTCTCGCGCTGCCGGCGCTAGAGTCGCTCGGCGCGCGCACAGCGCTGGCCTCGGCGGGCGCCGCCGAAGCAGCCGGCGCCGTGACGGCGACCGGCGCGCCCTTGCGTACCGCGTTCATCACCTTCCCCAACGGCGCGATTCCCGCCGCCTGGGCGTCGAGCGGTGAAGGCGCCGCGCTCGAGCTCGGCAAGACGCTCAAGCCGTTGGAGTCGGTCCGCAACCTCGTCCAGGTCTTCGGCGGCCTCGACCTCGAAGCGGCCCTCGCCGGCCCCGACGGCCCCGGCGACCACGCCCGCGGCAACGCCGCCCTGCTGACCACGGTGCGGCTCAACAAGAGCGCGTCGGACCTGCGTGTGGGCGTCTCGATCGATCAAGAGATCGCCGGGAAGGTGGGCCAACAGACGCGGCTCCCGTCGCTCGAACTCTCCGGTGACCGCGGCCCACGGAGCGGCGCCTGCGACTCGGGCTACGCCTGCGCGTACCAGTACAACGTCTCGTGGAAGTCGCCGACCACGCCGATGGCGCCCGAGCACAACCCGCGGCTGGTGTTCGAGCGGCTCTTCGGGGAAGGCGCCCCCGGCCAGCGCGCCGAGAGCCTCGCCCGCCGCCGCGCCGAACAGCGCTCGGTGCTCGACTTCGTGATGGCCGAGACCGAGTCCCTCAACCGTAAGGCGAGCGTCGCCGACCGCCAGAAGCTTGACGAGTACCTCACGGCGGTGCGCGAGATTGAACGCCGCATCGAGGCGTCTGAGCGATTCGCCGACGCCCCCGACCCGGGCCGCGAGGCGCCGCAAGGAATTCCCCGTGCGTACGAGGAGCACATCGCCCAGATGTTCGACTTGCTCGTGCTCGCCTTCGAGACCGACTCGACGCGCGTCGCCACGTTCCAGCTCGCCCACGACGGGAGCAACCGCAGCTTCGACCACATCGGCATCAGCGAAGGCCACCACGAGCTGACGCACCACCGCAACAACCAGGAGTGGGTCCGCAAGATCGAAGAGATCGACCGCTGGTACGTCCAGCAGTTCGCGCGGTTCCTGAAGGCGCTCGACGAGAAGAAGGACGCCGACGGCAAGTCGATGCTCTACAACTCACAGATCGTCTACGCCAGCGGCAACTCCGATGGCAACCGCCACACGCACGTTGACTTGCCAGTCGTCCTCGCCGGCGCCGGCGGCGGCACGTACAAGACCTGTCGCCACGTCAACCACGGCGCGACGCCCCT